ATATCTCTGATGAATATTGGATGTAAAAATTCTCAATAAAATACTATAACAAACTGAATTCACCAATACATTAGAAAGATCATTCATCACGACCAAGTGGGATTTATCCCTGGGCTGCAAGGATGGTTCAACATACAGGATCAATCAGTGTGATACACCATATCAAAAGAATGAAGGGCAAAAACCGTATGATCATTTCAATTGATGCTAAAAAAGGGCTAGATAAAATTCAACATTTATTTCTTTTAAAAACCCCACAAATAACTGTGTATAGAAGGAACATGCCTCAACATAATAGAAACTGTATATGACAGATCCACAGCTAGTAGCACACTATGACAGGAAAAGAAATCTTGGGACCCTCAAATCACTAAGTCGAGAGAAAAGTCAAGTTGGGAACTATGTAAGGCAAACCTGCCTCCCACTTTATTCTCAAATAAGATAGCTACAAAGATAAAAAGCTATATATTTCCCTCACAATTTGCCCACAAGTAACTTCCTTGTGGACCTCAAGATCTTTACCCTGAAACAGTTTCACTGAATTTCACTCTGGTAATGTAAATTGATGGCTTATCTTCACAGGTGCAGGACAGTAGATCATCCCCCTGCTCATCTGAGAGAAATGCATATCTGATTGCTTCCTCTGCCCTATTTACGTAAAAATGCAGATTCACTGAACCAGACGAAATTGTGTATTCAGTGAAAGGCTGGGACAGGACTCAAAATAACGCAACAACCTTTTATCTCTTATCTACCTAAGACCTGAAAGCCTTCCCTAGTTGTCCCACCTTTCCAGAAGGAACCAACATACATCTTTTTTATTTTTATTTTTATTTTTCCAGATGGAGTCTCATTCTGCTGCCCAGGCTGGAATGCAGTGGTGCAATCTCGGCTCACTGCAACCTCCGCCTCCCAGGTTCAAATGATTCACATGCCTCAGCCTCCAGAGTAACTGGTATTACAGGAGTGTGCCACCATACCCAGCTAATTTTTGTGTTTTTAGTAGAGATGGGATTTCACCATCTTGGCCAGGCTGGTCTTGAACTCCTGACCTCAACTGATCTACCACCTCAGCCTCCTAAAGTGCTGGGACTACAGGTTTGAGCCACTGTGCTCGGCCCCAACATACATCTTACACATACTGACTGATGTCTCATGAATCCCAAAATGTATAAAAGCAGGCTGTATCCTGAACACTTTGGGCACATGTCATCAGGACCTTCTGAGACTGTTTCATGAGCACATCCTTAACCTAAACTTCCTAAACTGATTGAGACCTGTCTCAAATATTTTGCATTCACAACACTGAATGGGGGAAAATTGAAAGCTTTTCCTCTAAGATCTGGAACAAGACAAGGATGCCCATTGTCACTACTGTTGTTCAACAGTAACAGACAACCTAGCTAGAGCAATCAGATAAGAGAAAGATACAAAGGACATCCAAATTGGAAAGAATGAAGTCAAATTACCCTGTTTGCAGATGATATGACGTTATATTTGGAAAAACCTAACATACACATGAAAACTAACATGCCACAAGAAAACTATTAAAAGTATTAAACTAGAAAAGCATGAGTAAACCAAGCCCAAAATTAGTAGAAGAAAAGAAATAATAAAGGTCAGAGAATAAATAAATAAAATAGAAATAAAAAATACAAAAGATCAATGAAACAAAAGGTTGGTTTTTTGGAAAATTAAACAAAATTGACAAACCTTTAGCCAGACTAAGAAAAAAAGAAGGAAGATAAAAGAGAGAAGATAAATAAGTTTAGTAAATTTGCAGGATACAAAAGTAATATACAAAAATCACTAGCATTTTTACATGCCAATATTGAACAAAGTGAAACAAATTTTAAAAGTAATCCCATTTATGATTGCCACACATAAAATTAAATATCTAAAAATTAACTTAACCGAAGAAGTGAAAGATCTCTATAATGAAAACTATAAAGAGTGAAGAAAGAAATTTAAGAGGACACCAAAAAAAAAAAAAAAAAAAAGGAAAAATATTCCATGTTCATGGACTGGAAGAATCAATATTGTTAAAATGTCATTACTACCCAAAGCAATCTATAGATTCAATGCAATCCCTATCAAAATACCAATAACATTCTTCACAGAAATAGAAAAAAATCCTAAAATTTATATGGACCCACAAAAGGCCCAGAATAACCAAAGCTGTCCTAAGCAAAAAGAACAAAACTGGAAGAATCACATTACTTGATTTCAAATTATACAACAGAGCTAGAGTAACCAAAACAGCATGGTTCTGGCATAAAAACAGACACATCAGCCAATGAAACAGAATAGAGAACCCAGAAACAAATCTGCATGCCTATAGTGAACTAATTTTTGACAAAGGTGCCAAGAACATACACTGGGGAAAAGATAGTCTATTCAACAAATGGTACTGGGAAAACTAGATATGAATATGCAGAAGAATGAAAGTAGACCCCTATCTCACACCATATTCAAATCAAAATGAATTAAAAACTTAAATCTAAGACTTAAAACTATAAAAGACTACAAGAAAACATTGGTGAAAATCTCTAGGTCATTGATGTGGGCAAAAATTTCTTGAGCAATACCTCTCAAGCACAGGTCACCAAAACAAAACTGGACAAATGGGATCACATCAGGCTAAAATGATTCTGCACAGCAAAGGATACGATCAGTGAAGAGAAGAAAAAAACACAGAGAATGGGAAAAAATATTTGCAAATTACCAATTTGACAAAGGAGTATTAACCAGAATATATAAGGAGCCCAAACAACTTTATAGGAAAAAATCTCATAATATAATAAAAAATAGGCAAAAGATTTGAATAGACATTTCTCAAATGAAGACATACAAATGGCAAACAGGCATATGAAAAGGTGCTCAACATTTTTGCAGAGCAATGCAAATCAAAACTATAGTGAGATATCATCTCCTACAGTAAAAATGGCTTATATTCACAAGACAGGCAATAAAGAAAGCTGATGAGGATGTGGAGAAAAGGGAGCCCTTGTACACTGTTGGTGAGGATGTAAATTAGTACAGCCACTATGGAGAACAGTTTGGAGGTCTCTCAAAAAACTAAAAATTGAGCTACCACATGATTCAGCAATCCCACTGCTGGATATATACCCAAAAGAAATGAAATCAGTATATCAAAGAGATATCTGCACTCCTGTGTTTCTTGCAGCATTGTTTACAATATCAAAGATTTGGAAGCAAACCAAGTGTGTATCAACATATGAATGAGTAAAGAAAATGTGGTACATACACACAATGTACTATTATTCGGCCATAAGAAAGAATGAGATCCAATTATCTGCAACAACATGAATGGAAGTGGAGAACATTTTGTTAAGTGAAATAAGCTAGGCACAGAAAGACAAACATCACATGTTCTCACTTACTTGTGGGATCTAAATATCAAAACAATTGAATGCATGGACATAGAGTAGTAGAAGCATCATTACCAGAGGCTGGTTGGGTAGTGGGGGTGGGGGGCAACAGGGGGTGGTGGGGATACTTAATGGTTACAAAAAAAGTAGGAAGGATGAATAATATCTATTACTTGATAGCACAACAAGGTAACTACAGTCAATAACAACTTAATTGTACATTTTAAAATAAAGAGTGTAACTGGATTGTTTATAACTCAAAGAATAAATGTCTAAGGGAATGGATACCCCATTCTCCATGATGTGCTTATTTCACATTGCATGCCTGTATCAAAACATCTCATGAGCCCCACCTCTATCTATTTATATATGTATACACACACACACACACACACACACACACACACAATGTAACCACAAAAATTAAAAATTAAAAAAAGTTCACCACTTACTCAACCACAAGAAAACTTCACCAAAATTTAAAAAATGAAAACATTCAGGCTAAATTATCTGACCACATGCAGTATCATTCATCACATTTAAACAGGTTAAAAAATTACATGGTGGTGCAAGTAATACCTTTAGATCCAAAATACTTGTCTATCTTTCAAGTATTTATTCTCTGTAAACATTTCAGGAAAGAAAATAAAAGCTCAGAGAATAAAGACTTTGTCTACTTTGTTTATCATTACATCTTCAGTAAGGGCTAAATCAATATTTGTTAAATGAATCAATGGAAAATTATCATATATTGTATCTGTTTTGCACCAGGTATTACATATTAAATACTAAGAAAGAATTCAGTAAAATGTAACACCCATTCCTGTGAATTTGCATTTTTAGTAAGTATGCATATCAGGTAAGTCTTACGTTCACTAAACATTGAGGACCAATAATTTACAAAGAATGATGAAACCATTTGGTTTAGGAATGAAAATGATGAAAACCCAGAAACATTGCCTTAAAAGTCAGAAACAGTATAGCTATTATAACATTGTTCTGGCAGTTTTAATCAATGTAATGAGGAAAAAGAATAAAGGCAGGAGATGGGAAGAAAATGTATCATTACATTGACAGGAGATGGAGGGAAGAAAATGTATCATTACATTATCAGCAAGAAAAAGATAATTACATTAGCTTGCAGGTGAAATGACTGCCTACCCAAGAGAACCAACAGGAAACTTGGAATTTAAGTTGAAAAATGTGGTTTTTCAAGATATGAACTAAAATAATTTTTCAATATAATAGCAATAATCTTAAGAATAAAAATGGGAAAATGAACATTCACAACAGCAACTCAAAATACCAAGAATTAAAATATCAAGAATTAAATAAACAAGGAATGCATATGAAGAAAATGATAAAACTTTATTAAAAGATGAAAAAGATCAATTAACAAGAGCTCTAGTAGCTTTCTACTGTATCAACTCAGCTAAGTTGGACTTAAAAACATTTCCCAGAATTTCCTTCCTTACATAGTTCTGGGCACTGTTGGCTACAGCAGACATCAAGTGAAGTCACAAGTGAAGCAACATTATCTTTTACACTGTGAAGGCCACTGCAGAGCACATTGTGAAGGTTGCATGTGCTGCTGATCTGTTAGCTCACCTTGCTGGCATGGGGAAGAAGCTGGACCTGCAGCTCCTTCAACTCCCATCAAACCTCTTCACTTCTCCAAATCATGGGCCCAAAGTGCAGCTGATATCAAAAGGGTCATCCTCTCCTGCATGTTACCCAAGCAACAAAACTAGGGTTGGTGAGAGGCTGATGCAGGTTCCATATGTCCCCAAGGGTTTCAATTTGTCCTTGGTCTCATCCACATCCGGTATCCCTGCCTGACTGCCAGTCTAGCTGGCCTGCAGCAACTTTTGGCTGAACAAGAGACTCGGAGGCAACAGTCTGAAGATTGCTCTACTACCTCCCACAATTCCACAGGTCTTTAGCTCACAAAGTAGTTCTGCTTCTTTGATGGATCCTAACTGATACACAAGCCAGACCGTTTTCTTGCATAAGAAGACAACGTTGGGCCGGGCACAGTGGCTCATGCCTATAATCCCAGCACTTTGGGAGGCCGAGGCAGGCAGATCACCTGAGGTCAGGAGTTCGAGACCAGCCTGATCAACATGGGGAAACCCTGTCTCTACTAAAAATACAAAAATTAGCAAGGTGTGGTGGCACATGCCTGTAATCCCAGCTACTTGGGAGGCTGAGGCAGGAGAATTGCTTGATCCCGGGAGGCAGAGGTTGCAGTGGGCCGAGATCACACCATTGCATTCCAGCCTGGGCAACAACCGTGAAATTCTGCCTCATTAAAAAAAAAAAAAAAAAAAAAAAAAAAAGACAACATTGGTGGTGTTATTCTCTCCAAATTAATCTATAAATATAATGTAATTTTAATCAAAATCCAAAAGGGATTTTCTTCTAGGAACTTCACAAAATAATTTAAAATTTTATTTGAAAGAGTACATGCTAACAAATTTTTGAAAAAAAGTAGTGTAATGTGAGTACTGAAAGGAGAATACAAAACCAAGAACCAGACCCAGTATGTATATGGTGGGGAGAAATGTGTACATAATTCCAAACTGGTAGAGGAATTATGCATTATTTAATCCAGATCTCATTAACAGTTAGGATTCTAAGTGCAAGGAAGGGCAAACTATTTGGCAAAAACATTTTTGTGTAAGTAAAAAAAAAAAAAATTTAAATTTTTGGGGCCAGGTGTGGTAGCTTCCACCTGTAAAGCCAGCACTTTGTGACGCCAAGGCAGGAGGACTGCTTGAGGCCAGAGTTTTAGACCAGCCTGGGCAACACAGATGGTCTGTACTAGAAATAATAAAAAAAAATGCCAGGTGTGGTGGTGTACACCTGTAGTCCTAGTTACTTGGGAGGCTGAAGTGGAAGGATCACGTGTCCAGGAATGTGAAGCTGCAGGAATGAACTATGATCATGCTATTTCACTAAGTGACAGGGTGAGATCCTGTCTGAAAAACAACAAAAATAATTAAGAATATTAGGAAATTACAGACTTGTCAGGTTTTGAAAACCAGGCTTCAAAACTATCCCTCAAGAACTTCAGTCAAAACAACACCAGACAACTGGTCTGATGATCTCCCTGCCACGAAGTCTAGCTTGCACTGCCCAAACACCTGTCACCAGATATTACCAATGGCACTGCTGCCAGTGCTGCCCTGTCTGCTGCTGCTATAAAAGATTCTTGGCAGTATTTATTTCCTTGCTCTCAATACAAAATTTGGAGTGGGGCAAGGTATGTGTCTAACTGGCTAAGTCTAGGTCACATGCCCACACCCAAGTTGCGAGGCTGGAGAAGAAAGTACAGTATGTGGCCTTTTCAGTATATACAGACAGTCTCGGCCTATGATGGGTCAATTTATTATTTTTTGACTCTACAGTGGGTTTGTGAGCATTCATGTATTTTCAACTCATGAAATTTTTGACTTACAATGGGTTTATCAGGACATGACACCATCATAAGTAAAGGAACACTTGTATAGAAGAACATGGGTTCTATCTTCCTTCACAATGGATTGGAAGAAGAACCTCCCAAATATATTATATTGAACAGAAAACGACCTGTCTATACTGGTAATCAGTAGGTAGAAAAGGCTATAATTACTAAATACCACTGAAGAAAATTGATCATCAGACAAAACCTAGACTGGATAATCAACTTTTAGTGTGTATTATGTAATTATATATATAACTTTAGATTTTAAAATGTCACACTCATATGTTTCTCTAATTAAATTAAGAAAGGGAATCAGTTTGGTTGATTACTTGCCTGGAAAACTTTCATGGTTAGACAGCTTTTGTAATCAACTGTGTTATCAAATTTAGGATATCTATATGAATTTGTAAACAGAATTCTATATAGTCCAGCTAGCTAGAGGAGCTCAAAATTATTTTTAAAAATCTGATAGGCATGACTATGCAATAATGTAAAGCTTCTGTATGGCAAAATTAAAGACAGATAAATGGAGGAAATTTAGAACATTTATGGCAGAGAAAGATTAGTAGCCCTAATGTATTAAAGGCTCTTAAAATTAATTAAAAAAAATAAGCATTCCAATAATAATGTGGGCAGTATACATAAAAAGACAATTTGGAAAAGAAATACAAATGGTCAAAAAATACGAAAAGATTTCAACTTTATTAGTAATCAGTTGAATTCAAATCAAAACAATGAGATTTCAATTTGTAAGACTGACAAAAGATTACTAATATTCTGTATTAGTAGGAGTAGGGAAATAATGATCACACTCAAAGATTATTAGCAAGAGTATAAAGTAGTATAACTTTTCTATTGGTCAATTTGACTACGAATCAAAAATCATAAAAAATAAGCAAATACTTTTGAGGATACATTTCCAATTCTAGGAAAATAAGGAAATAATTAGATAAATATGAATAGCTATATATGAATGTTCAGCATAGCATTGCTCTTACGAGAAAAAATTTAAAACAATATATATGTCTAAAATATGGTACTAGTGAAATAAATTCCACAAATACACAGCCATTAAAAAATACTTATTCTCATACTTACTGACCTAGAAAGATGTTCAGTAAATAGTAAATTTTAAGAGGTAGCCTATAAAATAATATGTAAAAAATTACATTTTTGTTAAAACATATATACACGTATATTCAAAAATCTGGAAGGCCGATCATTTGGTTTATTTTTCAGTGGTGGGCTACAAATATAATTATTACTTTTTTTCTTTTTTTTGAATGTTTGAAAAATTTCAAAGTCTTACTATTATGACCATAAAACCAATAAAGCTACTTTGAAAATTTGAAGCCAGAAGTAATTAAACTCATACTTGATTATTAAAGTCAGCCTCTTAAAAGTGTAATTTAAAAAATGTAATTTTAAAAAATTATAACATTATACACATATATTAACAAACATATTAAATATATAACACTAATTGGTATTAATAAAATTACACCCAATCTCATAAATCAAATTTATGGTATAATATAAAAACAATTTGTTCATAGTTATGCAATAATAGATACAAGAAAAGTCCATATTAAAGATTTCTATATCTTCACATGAAATAACTTATGCAGATTCCTTATGTGAAGAATACTTACTATGCAGATAACTATTGTTTACATGATAATGGAGTCAACAACAATCCTCATTCTTGGTCATTTGCAATAATGAAAATTGTTCTCTAAAGCATTAAGATGGGTTATTTTCTATAGATTCTTCCAGGATCTGGAAATAATGATTTTCAGGTACTCTCAACCAAGAGATGTGACCAAAATGCAAAAAAATGCAAAAGATGCCTCCATTACACAGTCATGAATCCTTTCCATAAACCTCAGGATTTATAGCATCACAAATTATGAATCGTCTCCTTTAGAAAATAAACATACAATACCTGAATGGATAAAGAAGTCAACATATTTAAATATTTAATACATATAACTTTAAAGTTGATTAAATGTCCCTTTGAACAAAAAATAAATACCCTTATCCACTTAGCTGGACTGAAACTGGGACACTGAAAACTTGAATTAATGGCCAACCCCAAGCAGCAGCAGCAGCAGCAGCAGCAGCAGCAGCAGCAGCAGCAGCAGCAGTGTAAGCAGCAATATTCCCCTCCTTCAGTAAGGTGTGGCCTGTAAGGTAGCCCTAAGGAGAAAGAAGGCCATTCAGGTATGAGAAGAACCTAGGCTGGGCGCCGAACTACACAGATGCCCAACTAAACCCATGTTTATGTATACATTTAATCACAAATTTTCTTTTCCTGTCTTAGAAACAAAGTCTTACTCTGTCACCCAGGCTAGAGTGCAGTGGCACGGTCCTAGCTCACTGCAGCCTCTAACACCTAGGCTCAAGCAATTCTCCTGACTCAGCCTCCTGAGTAGCTGGGACTACAGCCAAGTGCCACCAAGATTAGGTAATTTTTTCTTTTTCTTTTTTTTGAAAAGATAGGGTCCCTCTATGTTGTTCAGGCTGGTCTCAAATTCCTGGCCTCAAGTAATCCTCCTGTCTCAACTTCCCAAAGCAACTGAGATTACAGGAGTGAGTCACTGAGACTGATCTAATTACGAATTTATTTTCAACTCTCGTTCCAGAAGGGAGACAAAAATAAAAAGCCAATATCCACTTAACTGCAAATTTCATGATGTCCTTAAAAAGCCAGTGCACTGTATCTTCTTTCACTCAGGGAGAAATTTTAAATAATTACAATATATATTTAAATGTTAATAACCTTACTTTTTTTTTTTTTTTGACAAGGTTGCTCTGTCACCTAAGCTGAAGTGTAGTGGCATGATCATAGCTCACTATAACCTTGAACTCATGGGCTCCTGCTTCAGCTGCCTACGTAGCTAGGACTACAGAACTGCACAACTATACTTGGCTAATTTGTTTTTTAAGTGTTTTGTAGAGATGGGGGTCTCACTGTGTTGACCAGGCTGGTCTTCAACTCCTGGCCTCAAGTGATCCTCCCACCTTGGCCTCCCAAAGTGCTGGGACTACAGGCATAAACCACCATGCCCAAACTACTAACCCTACATTTTACATGATGAGTTCAGATTTTAAAAGGATTAGTTGGCTAATAAAGTGTCATGAGCAAAGCGAAAAATCAAAAGATTACTTGAACAATTTACACGATGATTCAAATTTAAAGCAACCTCAAAAAGTGAAATTTACTGTTTACAAATAACTGTATCATGGTTTATGAATAGGAACACATATATTATACATAATGGGTGTAATATGAATGCATTTTATCAATGGAAAGTACAAAACAGCTTGCTCGATCAAAGAGGAAGGAAAAGCTCACAGTGAACTTGGAAACATTCCTTCAGTCCGTCAAGCCTTCAGATGCTCACAGCCACGGCCGACATGCCGATTACAATTTCATGAGACCCTGGGCCAGAACTGCCCAGCTAAGTCTTGACCCCACAGAAAGAATGAAATTATTGTTCACTGTTTTATGCCTCTAAGTTTTGGTGTTATTTGTTACACAGGAAATTCTGAGAACAGTACTATTCCTATTTTTAAGAAAGGTATAATTGCAGTTCCAGAACCCACACTTCTGGCATCTATTCTACTCCAACTACTGATGCAGATATTTAACATCTGGCTTAGATTCTGAGTATTAGAGAAAGAAAAATTTACTAAGTGTTCTTCGTGTATTACTCATTGTCTCTGAATAATACACCTAAGGGTACCCATTTTTTTGCTTAAACTTATTTTCCTTTTCCACTTCTTATTCCTCCTCCTACAAATAAAACGGATTCCTGAATCTCCTAAATTCATAAGCCTTAAGTTTATTTTACATATTCACTTTGAGAAGATTTCTTAAGAGTAGTGATTATAATTTTCTTTTAAACTTGTCATGTATAAAATCCAATGTGCTCAAGGTATTTAATAAATATTCCATTTTACTAATACAAGGGGTAAGCACATAATCAATCCTCAGCCTATGAACTAAAGATACTGTTTGGGATGAATTCTCTGACATAATCGACATAGAAATTTCTTCCTATGACTTGCAGAAGCCACTTTCTGCCATGGCCAAACTTTGTCACACCCCATCCTCCTTATAGCAAATGCCACTAACTTTGGGACCTTCGGAGTATACATAGCAGTACTCTTCTCCTTCCTGAATTCCACGAACATATAATTAGCTGGTCACTTTAATTATACGTTATCGTGTATTGTTTGCTAATAATCCCTTAGACATTATTTCTGTCAAAACAAATAGATGATAAATTCTCTAAGTAAATGTCATTTGTTTTAACTTTCTCTCTCCCCACCAACCTTACAAATTATATGCAAAAACCTAAGGTCAAAACTTGTTCCAAATTCCAGAAATGGCCTTTATTATGCTCTACCAGTAAGTCCTCTTCACTGTAGTTGCTGTGAAACTTAATAATTTAATTTCTTTAATGGAAAAATACCAAAGCAGATGACAAATCTGATGCAACTGACAAAGGAAACACAAATCTTGCTTACTTTCACTGAAACTTTTTAGAGCCATCAGATGTCTGATGTTTAATTCCTATGCCCATTATGAATAAAACAAAATTCTGAATTTCAACGTGTTTGAACATTCTTAAAATGTTTAATTCCTATGCCTATTACGAATAAAACAAAATTCTGAATTTCAACGTGTTTGAAGCCTCAGAAGTTCCCACACATCCTTTTCTGAGGCTAGTGTGATGCAATAATTTTTAAAATGTCATTAAAAAAAATGGACCAAGCTGCAGGGAAGGGACAATGTCACACTTTGAGCATTCAAGCCTCAAGAGCTCCAGGAAGCGACGGGCTCTTAAACCGGTTAAGGACAGCAATGGGCTCCTCCGTCAAGTCCCCCGGAACCCTACGCTTGGCCAGAAAAAGGCTAGGAGCGCGGAGCCCAGGCGGAGGGATGGGGTCTAGGGGGATCTAGAAACAGCGCGAAGCCGGAGGGCGGCGCCAGGGCTCCTCGCAGACCCTAGGGCCGCGGGACAGTGCCAGCTCGTGGGTCGCACGCACCCGGCAGGCTCCTGGCTCCCGCGTGCCTGACGTTCCAGCATGCCCTCCCACACGCAACCGGACCCTCCATACACCAGACTCAGGTGGTCCCCGTCTCCGGTCTCCCACCTCAGCACGCAGTTCCGCGGCGTCCATCCCGCCCCCTCCCCCGCCCACGCAGTCCCTCGCGGAGGCTCCGCCGTACCCACCCCGGGCTCTCAGAGTTCAAACAAGCAGCAGCTCCAGCAGCAGCCCCGCCCCTCTCCTCCGCCCCTTGGTCGGCACCATAGAGATGTCGGTTGCCGGCCAGAGCGGCTTCAGACCCGAGCGTCGGCCGAGAGGATGCCGGGATACTGGGCAGCGCCAAATCGAAAGGAAGCGTCCCTTGAGTGCTGTTTGGTGCAGTGGGTAGATACTCCAAGTTTCTCCTCGCCCACCCTAGACCCCGACACCCCAGAAAGAAACTTTTGGGTCGCCGGGGTGAGAGGAGAGAAGTGCCTTGTTAGCTTCCTTTTGTCAAACCCTAGGATTCGTTTCTTATATTGGCCGGAGCCGTGCCACAAACGTTGCCGACTTCGCCACGTGGGGACAGAGAAGTGTCCTCCCGAATGCCAGGCGCACAGGCTTTACTGCGAGACGCTTGAGCTAGGAGCCTCGGCCGTCGGGTCTCGAAGGTGTAGCGATACTGCTGACTTCCTTCCGTGAATCCCTTAAGGTGGGCAACAGAGCTTCTCACCAAACTGAGGGACCGGGAGACCTCGCAGACCGGCCGCTCCTCGGTAGCACTTCACCGCCGCCTGGGGGATTTCTTGATAATTCTTTGCCACGATGAGGGCGGATGTTGTGCAGCTACTGTTTGTGGACCCAAGTAGCATAACTAGAACGCTTAATCATGACGACTAAATCCCCAGGAGTCGAAAAAGCAACTCCATACAGGGTAGTTTGACCCTAACTAAATCGCGATCACAAGTTTGTTTACTGGACTGTGGCTAGGTCCCATCCCGTCCCTGCCTCAGAGTGGTGGCTGCTCTCAGCACCAAGGAGACACCAGCTGGACATTTGATTCTAGGAATCATGGGCCCAAAAGAAGAGGCCCAAGGAGGGATATTCTTTCCCTTTCCTACCTACAGTTTCTTAAATCAAGTGTCAGATGGAAAGCAACTGCAGCAAGGGGTGGGATCATCGTAATTACACAGTTGAAGAATTATACAGAAAATGCTTCAATCTCAAAGCAAACTCCTAGGCCACCCCCTGAATTTCAGAGTTTCTCAATCATAGAACTCATTTCTTGTCACACTCTTGGTTCTTAGCCAATGTAAAAGATTCAACTGACAGGGAAAATTAAACACATTTTAACCCCCACATATCTTAAAGAGAATTAAAAATATCTCTCAGCAAATGTAGTTATAATTTTGAGTGCTTTTAGCCATATTAAGGACAATTTTTCTCCATTTGAATGAAGCAATAATTTGGCATTACCCTTTTGGCAGCTTGGAACAAGTCTTACAGGCCTTATGGAGCTATTGAGGAACAACATAGATGGCTTCATGCAAACCCAAACAATGTAATAATAGTTCTTTTCTCTATAGTCAGTCTACTGCCTGGAGATGCTTATTCATTTCTTTTTTCTTTTTTTCTTTTTTTGAGACAGGGTCTCCCTCTGTCACCCAGGTTGGAGTTCAGTGGTGCAATCATAGCTCACTGCAGCCTTGACCTCCTAGGCTTAAGGGATTCTCTGGCCTCAGCCTCTGGAGTAGCTGGGACCACAGTCACATGCCATGTCGCAGGTAACTTTTAAGTTTTTTGTAGAGATGGGTATTTCACTATGTTGCCCCAACTGGTGTTGAAGTCCTGGGCTCAAGTCATCCCCCGCTCCTTGGCTTCTCAAAGTGTTGGGGTTACAGGTGTGAGCCACTGTGCCCAGCTTACTGATTCATTTATACAACACAAACTGAGCGCTCTCAGTGGGCTACAGAATGACTGTGGAGCTCAAGTTCTAGCATAGGTGTAAACTACAAGGAAACAAACAAGCTAGACAGATAGTAGTACTATAAAGGAAGTAAATAGGGTGATGTAATAGGCTTGGGAGAGGCTAACTTTAGTTAGTTATCAAGGGAGGCCCTTATGAGGAAGTGGTACTTGTTTAAGAATTGAAATGTGAAGGAATCCAGTGTCAGAGGAACTATATAAAAAGGCATTGTGTCCCTTTAACTTTGTGACATTATCACTCCTGATCTACGCTCTTTTCTCTCCATTTTTCTCCTTGTTTTCTGTTACTGTTTCCCTTTTATTTGAAGAGCCAGGTCTTTTCTAGAAATCAGAAAGTTAGAACATTTTCTGGTTGTATTTGGTGTAATCTTTACATCTTTATAGATGTGTGGTTTTGTTCTTTCCTAATAGACAACTTTATAATAAACAGTACTTTTGGTGAGCTCATTTCTCTTAAACACTTTGCAGCATAAATCTTTTCCTGTGTTCAAAAGAAAGTATCTGGTTCATGAGACAGTTTAGATATAGTCTTTGCTGAAGTGCTTGATTTTTAGTTTACAAAATGGCTTTGTCTCCGTTTTTGTTTTTGAGATCTAGTTCTTGGTGTAAAGGGACTAAATAGCAAGTGAACAAATGCACAATTCTGCATATTAAAAAAAAAAAAAAAGGCTGGGCGCAGTGGCTCACACCTGTAATCCTAGCACTTTGGGGAATGGAGGCAGGAGGATAGCTTGAAGCCAGGAGTTCAAGATCAGCCTGGGCAAGATAGGGAGATTCCTGTCTCTACAAAAAATATTAATAAAACAACAACAACAACAACAACAACAAACTAGGTGTGGTGGTGCATATCTGTGGTTCCAGCTACTCGGGAGGCTGAGGTGGGAGGATCCCTTGAACCAACAAGTTCAAGGTTGCATTGAGCTATGATTGCACCACTGCACTGCAGCCTAGGTGGCAGAGCAAGACTGTGTCTCAAACAACAAAAACAAAATGAAAAAAACCCTGAAGATTAAATGTTTCACAAAATAAAAACAGCAACAACCTTATAACTTTACAATTTTTTTCTTGCAAATCTGAAATAAGAATTAAATGTGAAACAGTTCAAAACTTCAAAATAGTTTATTAATAAAATATAAATACATATTTTTAAAATGCACAAGTTAAATAAAAATGCCTCCAAAGTTAAATGTCAATTCTTATATAATCATCGTGCAGGGGTAATACATACAATATCTTGGCTTACTAGTAATTTTATACCAGTCTCATTTGAAATAATATCCTTAAACTTTAATAATATATTATAATAATTCAATTTTTCACTTTTTAGAGTTTGAGAGAAGACAGTCAATATCTTGAAGGATTTCAGAGGTTTTCTTCAATGCTATTAATACTTTGTTTTCATTAACTTCATCTGGCAAGGTTTCTGAAGATCCTGGTTTATAATCATCAGAAGACTGTTCATTTTTCTTGTTAGAAATCTGGTTTAGGATACCACTATTCTCTAGTAGCACTAAGTTGCTTAGTTAAGGAGACTTGCCCCACATTTTTCATTATATAAACATCTTTATATTCATAGGCCTCATATTAAAATATCATAACTGGAAGACCTCTTGGATTCATAATAGAGTTGGAACTATATAGCTTATCAAGTCTGCTCCTTGTAGATGAAGAAACTATTTACAGTACAGGCACTGCTTGACTTACGACCACAGTCGGGTCTGCGGAATGGTCGTAATACGATTTGGTCGTAAGTTGAGTAGGCTATATGTACAGTTGAAATGGTGCACACGGAGATGGTAGTGCTGCCAGAAGCTGGTCCGCACTGTCGTACGCCCAGTTGGGCAACGTTTGCGCTGCCAGACGCGGAGCAGTCGTGGCTAGCGATTGTGGTCGTAAAGTTGAATGGTCATAAGTTGCATAGGTCGTAAGTGGATCAATACCTGCATAAGGGAGGGGGAAAGATAAGAGAGTGTATATGTGTGTTTGGGTGGAGGTTTGGTTGCAAGGAGGAAATAATTAAAATCTCAGTAACATTTCTGTTTTTTTGACATGGAGTCTTACTCTATTGCCTAGGCTGGAGTGCAGTGGCACAATCTTGGCTTACTGTAACTTCCGCCTCCCAGGTTCAAGTGATCCTCCTGCCTTAGCCCCCCTAGTAGCTGGGATTACAGATGTGCACCACCATGCCCAGCTAATTTTTATATTTTTAATAGAGACGGAGTTTCACCATGTTGACCTGGCTGGTCTGGAACTCCTGACATCAGGTGATCCACCTGCCTTGGCCTCCTAAAGTGCTGGGATTACAGGTGTGAGCCACTGCGCCTGTCCAGTATCATTTCTTTATGTGAAGAAATGATACGGGAATTAAAAAAAGAGTATGGATGAGAGGATTATAAGGAATCTGTGTAGTGTCTATTTTTAATTTAAAAAGATTTAGAGTGAAAAGCCTGTTCTTCACTACAGAATCTATTATCTGAATAAGATTAGAGAAAAATCACAGGAGAAAACAAATTTAGATGAATTGGGTGAGAATGTATAGAACGAAAGGTTTCATTTTTAAAAAAAGAGGTCTTAAACAGCTATAATTTAGAATATAATTATGTAAGTGAAAAATTCCCCAAAGGAGAACTTAACTTCAATTTGCTGTTCTTTGCTCAATTTAAACTCAAAGAAAAGTATAAATGTAAACATGCTATACCTTCTATAGACAAGATACATCTGAAATTACAATCTTAAGTATTTGCTGACTCAATAAAGCTCAGGAATATATTAAGTATAGATTAATATTAACAAAGTACTGAAGTCATGAATTAAGCCTAGAATGAAAGAGAGTAATCATGTAGGACAGTGCATTCTGTTTAAAGGATACAGTTAAACTTCTGTATCTTTTCAAGTTCAGAAGCAACAGACCTGTGCAAGGAAAAAAAAAAGTTCATACAGTTGTCTGATTCTTTTATATTCATGATATTTCACATAAGCATACCTGAATTTTTTTTTCATAAAGGTTAGAATTTTAAACAGAAGAATGCAGAAGAATTCTCTTTATATTACCTTTATGTAGCAACAGATAAACTTGACTCAACTGATACTTACTGAGTGCCTTTAAAGGTAAGTGAATAAAAGTCTATCCCTTGTAAATCCACTTCGAGGAATCTGTATACCAAATTTTGACGTTTGAGGATAACGGGCCTTCCCACTACTTCTTAGTATTAACCTGGCATACACTCTACTTTTCTCCCTAAAGTTTACTCAAACTTTTAAAAA